CTGAAAAAGCAGAACTTCAACAAAAAGGCTTTCAAAAGGTAGCAGCCAGGCTGTGAGGTGGCATTCATCCAGCCACGGATTTCAATTCATATTCCCCCTGACCTCTAAGGTGGGCTCACACCCAGCTGGATTCTCCTATAGGCACTCCAGTTTTGGGGTGTACACTGAACTGTAAGCATCCAGGAGATGCTTCCTTCCTCTGCCTGCACCACGTCCATCCCTCGTGCATCCAAGGGAAATGAGTCAGTGCATCTCTGAGGCAGCACTGAGCTACCCCAGTTGCATAGTATATTACAGAAAGTGATCCAACTACAGCCTGATAAAAGGTGGCAAAAACAAATTACGTGCACTGGTTGTCAGCTCCATGAGAGCCCTGTCTGTTTACTGAGGGCTGACTGGAACTTGAGCTTGCTGGAGACCGAGCACACAGGATACAGACACAGCAGAGACAAAGATCAGAGATAACCAGACCCACACGAAGCAACAGCCACTGGAACAGACAGTGCATTCCTACATCATCCACCATATCTACAGCAGGATCCCCTGCAAACTGAGCTGCATTTTCATATAGCCACAAAAAGAAAAGTGCCTGCTTATACCAACTGCTTCCAGAATCTCCTACTGCAGCCACCATCAGAAAGCAGTAAGTGAGCAGACAGACATTCTGGTGCCGTGTCAAACTCAAACTTTTCTCAGCAGAAGACACTCAGACATGGAATATCAACAAACTCTTTGGCCTTTTTTAAATTGGTCTGAGTTTCCTCAGTTTCTCATCTAATTCTCCTTCAGTGCTATAAACAAACAGCCCAACATGTCTCAGAGCATTATACAGCACCACAGTGCTGCAAATCCCTAAGTGAAAGGTGAACCCCAACAGTGTTCATTTGTATTGCACCCAAAAAACAGACTCAGCAACCTATTATTGCCCCACAGAAGAGGGGCTTGGTTCCCAGAATACTTAAAATACTCTATTGTGCAAAATTTGTTGCACATTTACCTATGTTTCTGTGAGACAACGGATCACACATATTAGAAAAAATGTATTGCTTTCCCACAGCCTATTCATTAGCATCTAGTCCATCTCATTCCATTAGGTCACGTGTTCCATAGTGAGGAATTCAGAAAGCAAACTGAGCCATAGATGAGACAGGTCCCAGTTTCTGTTTGTATTTTCTTGCTGCATATCCACAGACTCTGAATTCTGACTCTCTGCAAAGACAAATTTCTGACAAACAAGATAAACTTATCCTCACCTGAACTCTGTTGCATTCTCCAACAAGACCAGGATCATCAGCCACCAAGGACTGAAGGAATGAAGTTCTTCTTCTCAGGAAGATTGTGGTTTAGCTCTTCCAGGATTTTTGTTTCTGACATGATGCCAGCTACATTCCTTCGTCACCTGCTTACCACTGCAGTCATGCAATCTGCAGCTATTGAGAAGTGCAGTCCAGCTGTCAAGAGACCAGCTTCTGCTGGGAGACACTCCAAACAGGCTCCGTCCAAACTGTTCCACGTAGCTGTTCAGACTGAGGCATCTTCACCAAACATTTTGGGTACACCACTGCAGGAACACACTTAGGCAAATTGAGCAGAAACAGACCTGAGCCCATGCAGAAAACCACAGCGTGCATCTCCACACACAAAGAGACACCAGCACAGCTGAAGCAGTCTTCACCAAGCAACACAGTGCTCAATGTTCCTGGCAATGGTAGAAAAGTCAAATTCTGCTCCAAAGCATCAAGATTTACAGAGTACATACACTTCTCATATGAGATTCCATCTCTGCAGCAAATACCACTCCTCACCAACTCAAACTACCTGCCTCGAGTGGGAGAAACATTCAGGACATAGATTCCAAGCAATCTCACAGTGCCTGTTAATTCTCATGGAGCAGAACCCATAAGCAAGGGAATAGAAAGCATTGGTTGGTTTGCTGTTACTGCATTGTTGTTGATGGCTAAAAAGTGCAAGGCAGGCATCTAGTTCATAAAACCTATTTTGTAGTGTATGGAATCCACCGTATGCTATACCAAGTACACAATAAATATTAATCTTTTGTTTTTAGGCATCGAGAGTACATTATTTTAATTACAGCTTATACCAAGTGGCATTCAGTTAATTATTTGCTTGACACGGGACATTTTAAGCTGAATAGCTGACCATGCAAGCACAACAGACTTAAGAAAAACCCTTCCTGCTAAATTTCAAACGACATCTGGATCAAATGCCTTTCAGTATGGAAGTAAAGTCTTTATGTGTGTGAGCAAAGAGCAGTAGTGACACAATTTACTTAGGTTCAACCCAGAAGTTCCTGCAGTTTGACACATGACATTGGCAGTGACAGTATGGTCTGCTTTCTATGCTTCAGAGTTGGCCTTTTGTGGAACTTATCTTGCTTATTTCATCCATTTCTTCAGCAGGATTTCATGTCTCATCACTCCTGTGACCCAGAGTTAGACCTGGTGACTCCTGGGGAATGAGATCCTCTCCCAACCATCTCCTGTCCCCATTCTCTGTGGCTGGACTCCTGTAAGCCACGACCTTTCGTTTCAATGGGCAAGAAGAAGGAAGCCACAGCAGCCAGCAGGCAACATCCACTGTAAACTGCCAGTGTTAAATAGACTGAGGATTCCAACATCACCTGCAAAAAACACAAAATATTACCACCAGGAAGAATTTTAGGGCTGCATACTTTTCTTTCCTCAAAGACTACAGAGTCATAAGTTTTCTACTTAGCTTTTTGCAGAGCAGCTGTTCCTGACACAGGCTTCTTAGTCCTGTCCCTGCAGAGCCTGGCTCTCCCAGACTTCCTGCCTAGCATTCCACATCTGCTGCAGGTTCACATTCCCTAGAACTTGAGGTCTCAAAGGAAAAGTGGCACTGCATAACCCACAGAAACCTGTAAGCCCCTCACGGATCCCATCTCCACATGGGTGTCTTCCAAGGAGCCCTTACATCCATCCAGCAGCCTGCTCTGTGGTTATTTATCTCCCATCATAAGACCCTTGAAGTAAGAGGTAAATTCAGAGATGAGCCTGAACTCTCTTCAGGGAACAGGCAACAATTGTCCTTCAACATATCACGCACAGACTGACCTTGGTATGGCCCTTACAGTAGAGGAGGCAGGTTCTCCATCACCCTCCTAGGCCATCAGTACTGGGAGAAGGGTTTTTACCTGTGCAATGAATGGCGTTATGAGGGCTCCCACTCTGGCCATTCCACTGCATGTTCCCAGGCCCAAAGCACGTGTGGCTGTTGGGTAAACCTGTGAAGAAAGCACCAGCCCATTAACTCAAGTGAGCAGCTCCCTTCCAACCTCCTTAATCAATGAAAATAGCACTGCAGCAAGTTCTGTTAGACAACAATGAGATCATGAACTCATATCTGGGGTTAGGTTCATTGTGAAGAGGTCATAAAAATGACTTTCCCACCATGTTCTCACTCCCCTTAAATAGTCTCATTACAAAACCAGCCTCCTTACCTCTGGAGTGTAAACATAAGCAGCCTGAAATCCTCCTGAAATAAAAGCTCTTGCAATGAAGAGCAGCACAGTAAGGACATTTCTGTGAGAATAAAAAGGAGAGCAGTGTTTGGGATTGTTCTGTACAATCTGTTTGTTTAACTTGGAGGCATGTGCAATAAAAAAAAAAAAAAATGCTGATTTCATTACAACAATTTCTTTTTTATTTTTATTTTTTTAAATGAACCCTTCTTATTTTTTCTGGACCCTTAATGTAATAATGATGCCAAACAATTTGCATTCCCACAGTCGCATCAGTTTTCTAAGGGTATTCATTCTAACTGACAGCTGTAGACTGTAGAAATAAACAGCCAGTGCCTAGGCTTATCTAAATAAGAAAAATATATTCCATGTTATGAATGGTGCTAACAAAAAATATTGGCACACACAAGAAGGAAGTCAAACTGCAGCTTGTCTGTTTAAAATACATGAACCTACATGCCAACTGAATATTTGCAGCTTTGAAAGGTTTCTCATTGCACAGTTTCTGTACTGTGCCTGAAAAGGTTTAAATTCAGAGAGCTCTCCACTGCCTATTTTGCACTGCCTTGTTCTTCAGTCCCAAGAAACAAACGTTGTCTCCCACCACAATTCAGAAAGAACACAGATTAAGCACTGGTATTTCACTGTTTTACTTACCTTCCAACACATAGAAACAGCAGCAGGCTGCAAAACGAGAAGACAAAAAAGGACAGGGCCATGGTTTTCTTGCGGCCTATCCGATCAATAATCCACAGTGTTACTAACACACCTGTAGAAGGAGGCAAGTTGATTGTTGGGGATTAAGCACAGGTGGAGGCTGCATCAACTGGCTTTTAACATTGGCTACGTTATTTAGATTTGAAAATCTGCTCTCATAGTACTTTGCTGGCAGAGGAATCAAGCAGAGGTGTGCAGTAGATTGGTCCAGTTACTGTTAGCACATGCAAAAAATAGCACTCTGTGTCCCAGCTGGTGAGTTTTGCTCCATGTTCACAGTGGCTGCACACTCACTCAGGGGACACGCAGTTGTAGCAGTGAGCAATCAACTCTGACATCTGCTAAATATTGATTACTGCAGTGGTTACCAACCTGAGTGCTAAAAATGCCTGCCTTATGTCTAACTAGAATTTAGAAACTATCTTTTGTTTCAACTTCCAACCCCTGGTCCCCTACTAATCTTTCTACTGCTTAGAACCTAATATTTTCTTTCCATTGAGTTTTTTATATGTTGCCATTAAATCTCACCTGCTCTTTGATAAAAGAAATGGATCAAGCTCTTTAAGTCTCATATTTTTAAGTATTCTCTCTTCTGCAATTTGTCCAGATCCCTTTAAAAGCAGATGCACAGCAAGTGTGGAGATTATGCAAGTACTGATGTTGCCAGTCTCACATTCGGAGATATCCCAATTTGTATTTCTTACATCCTGTCTTAGTATGTGCCAGGACCAAACCAGTCTGTTCAGCTATAGCATCAGTCCAAAACTACAACTGTCTTCCATTCACTTATGTCCTTCCCAGAATGACTTGTATACAGGATATTCCTCTCATTAGGCAGGGACTATGCACATTTGCCACACACTCACAACTTTTCACCAATTAAATGACTTCTCTTAGATTTCATGTCCCTGAAACTACAATATAGAGCAGTGAAAATATCCCCACCACTGCCTCATTGTAGTATTTCAAATAGATTAGTACTGAGAGATCATCTTTTACATCTGAAGAAACACTAGCTATTAAATAGCTATTAAATACTATCTGGATCATCCCATGTAAGACTGTTCATTGAAATTCATTTTAAATTGACTGAAAATCACAGCTGTGCTGGACAGAGTGTTATGAAACAAGTCCTCCATTGATTCTCTATATCCAGGATCCTTTTCAAATAGTTTTGGATAGTCACTTATGGATAAAAGTTCAAGTGATTCTGCCCCTTTTATTTAATCGTTACTCTTCCTCTGAATGCCTAATATGTTTCTTGGAACAAATCCATAGTAAGACAGGCCATTATAGGTTCACAAAGCAATTACTAGTGATTTTATCTGTGATGATGCCACAGACAGTGAAGGGAGCTGCAGCTACTGTGTGTACTGCATGTATCTAACAGTTCAAGCAAGGAGCCCCACTGCTTCTGGAAATACAGTGGCATTAGGCCAGACAAGAGAGCCCACTTTCTGTCATGCCAAAGTTCATTCCAATTACACTGAGCTACTGGCAGTGAAAAACTGGAGCTTTTTATCACCACTTACCTGGGAATTCTGACAGGGTTGTCCAGAGCAGATCAGTGTAGTCTTCCTCTGTCAGATACTCACAGGTCAGGCTGCACTTTGCTTTAACTTCTTTTCTTCTACTGGAAACTGTAGGAGAAGAGAAAAAATAAACAAAACAAAACAAAAAACAAACATATTTTAAGTAATCTGTTCTCTGCTCATCTTCCTTTACTCCTGGTAAAGGAACCATTCTTACTGCTGAAAATAAAAGAAGGGATGTGAACCAAAGAAATGCTGCTGCACAGCAAGTGTATTCAGACCAGAAGATACAGCTGGAACTGAACAGATTATGGTCTTATATGTGGCAGGATGTCTTACATGTGCAACTAGAATGAAAACTTACACCTGAATATCAGATGTACAAGCTTAGTGATTTTCCAGCCCAGGGCTTATGACAGTGAGCAGAACTAACATTTGTAACACAGGTTTCTCTCTACATAAATTGGGATTTAACCCTTCTTCTGTACTTTGAGAGGACAGAATAATTCCAAGTCCTTGTGACAAAAAGAAAAAATATATATATTTTTATGGACTGCACTGTTGTGCAAGCTCTGATTCTGTGTCTTTTCCCAATGCTATCCATCCCCTTCCCATAATTTTCAAACTACCAGACAGTTTTGACTAATCACAAATGTTCTGAATAAAGTCATATCTCCCCTAGGGAATCAAACTTCTTAAGCCTCTTCTTGAAGCAGTCAAAGCTTTTTTTTATACATAAAAACCTGCAACAGAAAGGGCGTTGATTTCCTAGCATTATCTTTTTTCTCCTCAGGTCTTCACATCCTGAGAACCTGGGAGCTCCACAGGAGCAGCAGTTATCTCTATCTCAGAACCAATTAGGCCTGTCAAATCTAGAAATTTACATTTATTCAGTCGTTCTTTACTCAAGAAGAACAGACACATTTTCTGAAATGTGTCTTCCTTTGAAGGTTGTCTTGCTGTGTTACATTTGGGGCTCAGAGACACTGCAGGACCTCTCTGCATTGTGTGGGAAACAAGGCACTGTCTGCCAATAGTGTTTAAAGAAAGAAGATGCCTTAAAATTTAGGCTGGCAACCACATCCTTACCAAACTAACTGCTGAAAGTCATCAAATAAAAGATATTCCATTACTTTACAGGGCATATTTAGAAAGAAGAGATGGTCTAGTACTCACTGCTGCACACATCTCCTGCTTGGAAGAACTCTGTAGTTAATAAAACTAACCCATAGTATGAAAAAGCATTGGAAAACCTGCAAGGATGAAAAGAAGAGAGGAAATCTCAGCTGACCACACCTATGGTAAACAACTTGAACCACAACCAAACCCACTGTGTGAGGACTTCCACCAAATACAACCTCAAAGCCATTTCCTATCAGCAGTCAGAAAAGGAAGAGGCAATTAGATCAAGAATGTTAGTGATTGAGTGGTTTAATAAATTACAAATCAATACAGTTTGGGCTTTTTTTCGTGAGGGGAAAATTGCTGTATTTTAGTGATACTGTTAAACACCTCAATTAAAAACCATTAGAGCAGTGCTGGCACTGAAGCATTTATATTTTCTCTTACCATATAAACCAGAGTAACAACGTGGTCCATCTAAAATGGGGGGTAAAAAGGTCCCTCATTTTTCCTCGGTCTTCCTGTTGGAAACAAATGTAAGTCAGAGGATCAGGGTGCTCACAGGTTCCAGATTGAAGGATGTACAGTGGCAAGGGATAACAATATACAGGATGATGTACTTGGACAAGTTCAGTTTGAACTTGGGGTTCTTCAGGTTGGAGGAGCCAACAACGAAGCTGGAATCCAAGTAAAGAATTCCTCTGCCAAGTGGAATTCTCTAGGAGCACAACATTATCAAAACAGTTCACGCACATGGCACAGTACTGCTTCACGAGGAAGGTGAGAATCTGAATAAGGAGGGGCTGGAAAGTGGAACAGCAGAACTCTGCCAATGCACAGCTAGCATATGGTTCATGTAGCCTTCAGTCAGCTCTGCTAAATTAGCACAGTCCATTGAGACCCAGGGCAAGGTGCCAAGGAACTACAAGCAGCCCTCCAGCAAGCAGACCTCTTTTCAACAGTGTGTTTCTAAAAGAGTGGCAGGCTCAGCTCAGAAACCTGTGGTTAAGGAAAAATGCTTTCCCACCCCACCCTAAAAACAGAATCTTCCAAAACTTGTAGAGCATTCCTGCACAGCCCATCATCATTACCCTGACTGAACCAAGTATTTGTTAAAGGCACAAGAGCTCTAGTCCTCACCCACCTAGGCTGCAGAAAATTGAACTTGTATCTCCAATTAGTAAGACCATTTCTAAAAATCTCCTGCTTAATTCTACAATTTTGCTGCTGTTCAAACCTGCAGGCTTGCCTCTGCTGTTCCTGCTTGCTGGCTAACTTTGTAACTTTTTTTTCTATGAAAGTCTGCTCTGTGTTCTGTAAACGCAGAGCCAATTTATATGTTGACAGGGGTGCTGAAAAGTTGGCTATGTAACACTGAAGTGAAAAGAAATCCAATGTAATTCATGCAGTAGCATACAGTTCAGAAGTAACAACCTGAATTGCTCCATGCAGTAGGACTGAATTGAAGCTTGCAGCATTCCAGCTCCACGAGATCAGGTTTAAATTCAAGAGATACACCTAGACAGTCTGATTCCACCTCATCCTATGAGTTCAGATCTGGGAGGTGTGATATTCTTCAAAAGTAGGGTCTTTCTCACTGTGGTTTGAGCATATATCATCACCATCTCTCATTTTTTGTTAGTGGTTGAGACATTAAAATTAAAGTTAACATGGATTATTTGCTTACATAAATCCCTATGACTACAGTACAGTTTCACTGTTATCCTGAGTGATTATTGTGTCAGTTACCCATACATACCTGCCTGGAAATAATTAATTTTCCTAGAGGCATTGGAGCTCCGTTTTCTGTTGCTATCCGCTTTAAAGTAGCAATTGCTTTTTCTTGATTTCCAGATAATACATCATACCTTGCACTTTCTGGCAGCCACTAAGAGAGCAAAGCAGACCATATGCACAATGATGTCAAAAACACAGCAACCAACAAACTGCAGACTTTATTAGTGAGCTTACAGTGGGAAATCTCCATGATCCCAGCAGACTGCTAACATAAGACAGGATCATAGAACCAGTCTTTAACAAATCAAAAAATCTCCTTTGTGTCAAATGTCAAGTTCCTCTTTAGGCTTCAAGAAACTGCAAAACAGCTTTTTTTTTTTTTTTTTTTTTTGCCATACAGTCAGAACTCCAGCCTAAATTTTTCTGTTGTCTCTTTTCCATTCTCAAGAAATGTTGAGCATTTTTGCAGGATCTTGACATTATCCTTTCTCAGTGGGGAAGGCAAAGCATCCCAAGCAGATAACAAGATGCTCTATGCATTCCAAAATTTGCATTTTTAAACACATCTTTAAGAAAATACCTACAAAACACAGGACAGCGAAGAGCAAAAGGGGGAGGGCAGAAAGAATGAGAAGCCACCGCCAGCCAAGAGTGGGCATCACCAGCACTGCTAGGAGGACTTCAAACACAGTTCCAATGGCCCAAAAGACCTGCCAAAGGGAAAAGAAACAGTCACAAATGAGAATGCTATTAAGCATTCTCTGAAACATTCAGAAATGTGCTCTCTAGGGACAGCTGGAGAGAGAAATGCCAGAGACATTTCAAACATACACCACTGCATGCAAACAGAAATCCAGAGATGTACTGGGGATCTGTGTACATGTTGCAGAAGCTCAGCTCTGAAAACCTAATGTCACCTTTCTTTTGACACTCCTGTTTAACCAGAGGTAGCTTCTTATAAGGAACAGACTCATCACATTCTGCTTCTTAAGCAAAATGACTGCTAACATCTATGTATGGGTATTGTACCCATCTAACACTGCAAGATTTATTGTATTTGTCTTCTTTTGCAAAACCAAGCTAGCAAAGCCACACAGAGTTTGTCCTGTAAGTGAAAGAAGGAATTGATACCTTCCTAGCAAATAATGGAGCTGGCACCCTGTTGCATGTTCTAGCCATGCACGATTATTCTCCTCTGGATTATGAATCCATAAAAGGATAATCTTTTTCTTGACAGCTCGCTATTTAATGCTCAGAATATATTTCTAACCCAGTATTACTCTGAGGTAGCCCAACTGTGGCAGAACAAAAATGACACAGAAGGGAGTGATTCATCTGCTGAACTCTATTTACAAAAGCTTAAGCAACTGAAAGTAGGACTAGCCAGCAGTTATCTTAGAAAACTGAGTAACTGAGAAGCTGTTTCAGTGTAGTGAGGTTTTCCATGAGGATGCTCCTTCCAAATGCACCACATCAGACAAGTAACAGCACTGCTCTCTGCCTAACTGTCTTCTACTGGCACACTTCAATTCAAGGGCTGCAAATTTTGCTTTTAAAGTATTTATAAGGCAAAATTCCTCTCTGTGTGACTTTGATACATTTGAATTGAATCTGGAGAGCTGAATTTAGCCTTGCACTTACTGTACAGTCAGCTCTTCATTATCCATTACTGAGCTGTACATCAATTTCACTGCAGCATTAGGTCACACCAGAGGGCTCTCTGCATGCTGCCTTCAGAAATGCTGGATACTTGGCACTGTTCTGGGACCACTGGCCTCAGTGCTGGAGAACTCCATGCTAACTTAACTGTCAACACCTGACTGCTGCCATGTGTGACATTATTAATCAGTACAACTGAATGGTTGCGACCAACAGCGGAATTTGTCCCCTGTGGACCAGCACACACAGCTACACTGCTCACCTCTATTAATAAAATGCATTTTGCTCTGGCTTTCATCGGAAGGAATTCGGCATATAAGGTTACCCTGTAAGAGTGAACATTGAGAAAAACATCATGTTAGCACACTGAGAGATGTCAGACACTATGCTTGTCTTTTATTAAAATTGCCAAAACCACAGCAGTAACAAAAACCCTTCCTAGTATTCAGAGCCAGGGAAGCGTGCACACTGGTTCAGACTTTGCTCCATCAACACAATGTCTTTTAGTTCATCACTGCAAAAGAAGGCAGAATTTGCTCTGCTCACGTGGCTTATAGTTGCTAGCTAAATGTAACAGTTCTTGCTGCATATGTTTGCTTAAAACTGCTTTGATCTGGGACAGGCATGATGTCTGCATTTTCAATATGGTCTATCAGCAGTCCATGCAAACTCTTGCTAGTTAAGTTCTTATTTACACCTGGCTCAGAGGACATCACATTGGCCTACACTGCCAAGTTTCCATTTTCTAAGACATAATTATTTTCAGGATCTGATTGTGCTATTGGTATTAAATAATTCCCATTCTTTTACAATGAGGAATCAAAAAGAAATAGTCTAACTTTGCAGAACTGCCATTTCCTGATTGTGCCAATGGTATGGCTTCTGTGTGGACAGAAGACAGAACCAAAGGGCCAGCAGACAGCCAAGGCTCTCTTGTCTTCTTCAGTCTGGTAAGACTCTTGGCTCCTACTCTCTTTGCATTCCAGTGGCTCATCCTCATCTTTGAAAGAATACAATATCTTTGAAAGAGTGGATGTTGCAAAGGTGAGAGAACAATCATACTCATGGTGACATACTATCTCACAGGAGATTGCAAGAGGCCTCAGGTGCAGGTCCAACATATGCAGAGGGAAAGGGACATCTGCTATAGTTAGTTAATTTATTACTGCTGGATGTATTCTTTTTAACAGCACGTTTCATACAAACCTTTCTCCCATACCAACTATAGAATACAACAATATAATTATAAAAATGCCAGCGTTATTTCCCTGAAATACAGCTACTCATAGCCAAAGTAATATCGTCTACTTAATACTAGAAAGGAGCTATTTCTCATGCCAGATATATATTAATTCTTTTCATCAAAGCTATTGCTGTTATAGTTAGAGCAAGAAACAGACTCAGTAGCAATGGAATCCACTCTGAGCTCTGTAACCAGCTCCTCTTTGTCTCTCATTAAGTCATGCAGCCCTTATGCTTTATCCACCTCTCTGTAAAGTGGTATTAGCTGAGCTGTAACTGTTCCACTGGGGCTCTGTGGAACATCATTAATATGAGTTTGCAGTATGAGGCATTATTAATTCTGATGCTTCGTCTTTGTTGTCCTCCTGCCTCATTCCAGTTGTGCTCAGTTGGAACTGCATGGCAGAAAATGCCTCACTGCTGCTCAATACACAGCAGGATAAGAACTTTCCAATTTTACATGCATGTTATGCTTTTGTGCAGCTTCTAACAGGGAGCAGATGAGCAGTAAGAGAAGATTAATAAAACTGTGAAGCTCCATCTCAGCTCTGAATCTTTTATCTGGGAATAGTAATAGAAAAGACAGGATATTGACTTGCCTTGTGAAGAAGTCTATGAGCCATCAATCAAAGTTAGGTTCTGATTACTCTGAAATAGCACCTCCACGGAGCAAAATATCAATTATTAATAAGGATAAAAGACTATGTGGAGAAAGACCAGGTATACTCATCCCTTTCCATTTATAATTAAAAGCCAAGAACAATTTATTTATTAAAGTGGAAAATTTAGAGATCCTCCTCTTCAGAATGGAATGATACAGTCCTAGAGAAATATCCTGACACTACCTTCGTACCAGAAATGTGTCTGAGCCATGAAGACATCTGAACTGCTCCAGATTTGGGCTATATGATTTTGGAACTCCAGATCAGGTTCAGACATGAAGGTTCAGGCTCTGATTGAACAACATTTTAGAGCTTTACAAAGCAGCAGTAGTGAAGGCTTCACTCTACCTCTAACTGCTAGTGTTTAGATCATCATCTATCTTGCAGAAAATCCATGTCACCCCTTATTGACTACTCCCAGCACAATTTGTTAATGCACTGTTTGGGCACGACTACAAAATGCTGTCTATTGCACTTTATCCACTGCTAGGAGAGCTATTTGGGCCTCTCCTTTTCACCTGAGGGAATGAGAGGAACTTAACAGGACTCAAGGCATACAACATACCACATTCAGGTACCCAGCTTTTTCACACAGAAGTCATTGTAAATCTGATAGATCACCTCAGTGATCTATTAGATATCACAGAATCACAGAATTGCCAGGGTTGGAAGGGACCTCAAGGATCATGAATCTCCAACCCCCCTGCCACATGCAGGGCCACCAACCATTCCACCTAATGCTAGAATATCTTCAAAGGCTTATCAGAATGTAATATATCAGTTCCAAAATTCTAAGAGGAAAGTGGGCTTGGGATAACTTAACTGAGGGAAGTCTTCCATTTGACATAAGAATTTAAAAAAAAATAACACAAAGAAGATAGAAAAGAGACTTGTGAATATTTACTTACGACTGAGGCACTCCTCCAATCCCAAAGCCCACCAGGCCCCTCAGCACCAAGATCCAGCTGTATATTGGTGCAAAACCACTGAGGATCCCATAATAGAGAGTCCATAAGACGCTAATCTTTAGACCCTGTATTTAACAAACAAGCAAGGGAAAAATAAAATTTCTGCTGTAACACAACATAAACAACATGTAAACTAAAGCTTCACAGCCAGAAAGTTCAAGTGCTACTTCTGTAAGTCCAACAGCTAAAGGTTTCCTAAAGGCTAGTCTAAGGTGGCACGGGTGGTACCAGGACAATAACATGATCAGTAGGTGATGAATTTATGAACCCATTCACAAACTGAGCAGAGAATTCCTCTATTTGTAGAAGGATTAGCTGTATTGCACCCAGAATTTCACAGAGGCTTTCACAACAACAAAATGCTTCACACTACCAGGCTCTTTATTTTTCTCACTTCTTATTTTCTGCTTTACTCTCCCAAACTTCTGTCCTTTTATTTCATGGGAGGTTGCTTCTGGCTCTGCTTAATTCTGCTTAACTCTACATACATATGAGCCATGACATCTGTAAACATCACTCATTAAAATATGCACACTGCTGCAGTACTTCCATATCTTCCAGTAGGAGCTGAACACTTACTGTTTTTCTCCCATACTGGTCTGAAATGTTTCCCCAGAGGGTGGAGCTGGACATCATTCCCACAAACACTACCTAGGAAACACCAGAAAAAAAGTCTTCTACTTAACAACAAGACAAGTAAAAATTCCCATACGACAGCAAAGAAAACACAATTTCAAATGAAACTTGAAAACTTCAGCACTAACAGCAGGCCAAAATTTTCACGTGTTCTGGGTCTAGTTCCTCTGCAGTAGAGACTATTAAAGGCAATTATTCATACACTGAGATTATTCAAAATGCACTCTAGCCCAACTTTACATCTACTGAGACGAAAGGGAGTTTGTTGTCCAGGAATTGGGGTGAATTTCAGCAGAGTGAATCTTTGCAAGGCTACTTGTCTTCAGAGAAGAATGAAATCTTGCCCATTTAAGGTAATGGCAATTATTCTGAGTCAATTCATATATTTTCCTGGAAATTACATGAAACTCTGCAGTTAAAGCTTGCAAATTTTCCTCATTTCTCACTGAGTTTTCCTTCTTCAAGCTCTGGCTTTTAAGAAAGGCCATGAACAGATTTAACTGTGGAATATAAAGCATAATGTCTGAATAACAGTGAGTGGAAAAACCTTACAGAATACAGGAGCTGTCAGTTATTTTTCCTACCGATGTGAGCAATGCAACCTGCCAGCTTGGTAATCGCCACTCACAATGAAGCTGAGGAGCTAGGATACTTAAAATCATCATTTCCATAGCATCTGCCATCTAGAAAGGTAAAAAAGAAATAAAAATAAAGAACTGCCTGTAAATTAGATTGATATAACAGTCATTAATCCTCCTTCTTGAAGCTAACTTTGCTTCTTCTCTTGACATTTCTTCTCTGTAGGTGAAACAAAACACTTATGCTTGCAAGGTACAGTAGGTGTCCACAGTAAATAAGGGCTCCAGACATCATTACCCAAAAATACACCACAGTGGATGTAACATAAAATGCTTCAGAAATAGCAGAAAAGTGAAAACAAAGCCTGTCTTCCTGTTCTTGATATCAAAGTTTAAAACTAGAAGTGGGGAAGCTTAAAACTGAATTGGTGTTCATCTGAAGCAGAGACTACAGTAACATTGACTAATACAGCAAAGAAAGAATGTAGCTGATGGGATAAATGTGCTAAAATCGTTGAATGAAAACTGAGATCTGTAGGAATAGGATTGTATCCTTTCCATTCGAAATAAGTATTTTAAGTAAAGAGTTACAGCAAGAGAGAAATCAATTATTCTTTACCTCCACATAACAAGTTTGAGTCCAGCTGTCACTCTAGTATTTCAGGTAAAATTCTTCCTCCATTGCATAATTATCTGTTTAGAGACTTTTGTCTACAGAGAATGGCTACAGAATTTGAAATCACTGGGATTCTGTAACAGGTGATCATGCAATTCATCTTGCTAACAATTACTTGCCCATGCTAATCCTGTAATAACAGAGAGCTTCCACTGGAACTTCCCAAATCCAATGGCTTCCACCGCATCTTCCACCATGAAAGTATCTAGAAAGAAAACAATCTGAGTGCAGAAACATACTCCTTTCATAGTAAGATGCATCCCTTGATGCAGCATTTTCTGTCAATGCAGTTATTTATTAACTGGGTAATCTGCTTAGATTTAAAATAACTAACAGAGAGCTACTTTGCTTTTATACAACTCTTACCCAAGAAAATCTCCATGTTTTTCAGAAATTGTCTTAGAGCCAAAACAATTCTAAATATTTATAAAATATTTTCTTGACAAAGAAATAAATCAGAGTAACACCAATGACTTCAGTGCATTCTCAGCCTGCTACTCCTGGGAGTGACCCCACCAGCCACTGACTTACAACTTCCTTTGGTGAGAGGTATATATAACAGCACAGAGCAATACTATACAAGGGATGGAACATGCAGAAGAATATTTTATCGAACCAAGAGTCAAACTATAATTATTTGAATGAAGAATTTGTCCAAGACATCTATATCTTAATACAGTTCTGTTAAAAATGCTGAGGGTTCTTGTTTCATTACCTCATTATTTTGTGCTATCTGAACAAGCAATGATATCTCAAATTCCTTTGCTCAAACAGAAAATGAGAAATACAACCAAAATATGTTTTGATTTTCCATTTGTCTAAAACAATTTAAGTGTCAAGGTTTTAACACTTCCAGCTCTTAATTAAGCACATTTGCCACAGAAAAGTTTTATCTAACTAAGAGTTGGACATTCTCACAAAGCAGAAGACCAAAAGGAAATCAAAACCAAAGCAAAATGAAATCAAACAAAAACTAACTGACAAAACAAGAAATGTCATGGGACCCCAATCTAAGACTGCAGCCCAGGCAGTGGGCATTGAAGCTCAGCATGCTGGCATGTTGCATCACTTCCACTTTTTTGAGTGATATGCCAACTGAACCTCTGTATCTATCTGCAGATTTGCATTGATGCAGTAAGTCTTTCAAGAAACTCATTCACTTCACACCGTTCTGGCTCCTACTGCATCAATATGTTAATAAATAAGTCCCTGGGAAAACAGCTGTTCTAGAGAACTTCAGTATGTTTTGTGCTAACACACAATTAGCACTTCTCAGATCTTCCCTCAGGACAGTCAGCTCTTTTCTCTTAGGCAGAAAGCAGAGGCTGGGATATGAATGTATTCTGTGTCCCTCTTGTTCTCTAGGTTAGTGGGAGACAGGAGCACTGCAGAGGCTTTGTGCTCAGCCCTAAAGGTGAGCCAGGTGTAACTGTTCCAGTAAACTTGGTGATGATTTAGGAGTACTGATCAGTTTTAAAGGAAACTTAGCCAAACTGCCTATTTGAAATAGGTGCTGACAACTGGATACCCCCATCAAATCAATCCAACAAACAAAGAAATCCTTAGGGGACAACGTAACTAAATCCCCATGTTCAGGTGTTTTGCCTATGTTACTGTCATCTTTTTTGATCTGGGGATCTCTAACTTCTCTAAACCCAATGCACTTATCCTGGCTGAAATGAAGAGGCCACATCTTTTTCCTTGAAGGGAAACAAGAAACCTGCTCACCATCAGTTGGGTTGGCAAATTCTTTTGGCACTGCAGCTCCATCCTCCAACTCGATAGCCTCTAGCTCTGTCCGAACGCCCTCAATCTGAATTTCATGTTCTCCTGAAATGGCATCCTCCTCTGACCTTGAACTTTCTCCAGTGCGGCGAAACTTGACTACCCTAAGAAAGGAGAAATGAGGATTAATGCTTTGGTGGATGTCTTGTGGATTGCTGTGTTCAGTTAGTCTTGAAATGCTATTTGATCAAAGAGGTGATGGGCAGGGAGAGAACAAGACATGAAAAGAGAACTTTGCTGAACTGATCCAACTTTCATGACTTACTTAAGAGTGATTTTTTGCAAGGCTTTACATAACGTGGAGGAGGTCCACCTCCCATCATTTAACTTTCATGTGACGAAACAAAGATTTTAAAACAGGCCTAACATAACTAGTGTAACACATCCCTCAGCCCTCCTTCAGTCCATCCCAACATCAGTGAAACTTTTCACCTTGGTAACTGACAATTTCTTGGACTTCAGTGAAGCTTTATTCCTTGTTGTTGGAGATAGATTAAATTATTCTTGCTGCTATCTCTTTGACTTCTGGTGCTTAAACATTTTAATTCTATGATAAAAATGAGCAGAAAGTCCCTTGAAATTCAGCTAAATCCTCTGCTTTAAAGGTTGCCAAAACTAAAGTAGCTGCATCCTTGCCAGCTGCAGCTGCAGCAAACTGACAGGCATGCATGACATTTCTAAAGGTGATCTGAAAGACTTTATGTATTTGGCAATCTTATTTTCTCTTACAAGTGCTGATGGCGCAATCCTTATGAATGTAAGGGCAAAATGACAGGCAACCTACACAACTCCTGCAAATGGCTTTTGGTCCAATAAGAGGATGGAAGAATTAAAATCTCAGTCTCCCATGGGTTGTCTACAACTGAAGGAGTCCTGGCTGCAATGAACCATCCAGTCCAGCTCAGGATTTCTCTGTGGAAGAAGCATAAAGCGAAGGGATCCAAAACACTTTTCAGTTTCACAGACCTGGCACATAATATAGCTGACCACATCCCATCTGGGGAATTGCACGAACTCACTAATGATATTCTGGCAACAATCTGGAGAGAGAGAGGTACAGTCATCGTTTTGTGAGGCTGTCACACACAAGCAGTTGATTTGCAGGCTTGTGAGATGTTTTGGGACTGCTTTTTTTGTTCATATAAACAGGACAACTTGAGATATGCATGGGGTAAATAGTTAGGGTAATACTTGGATTAAAAATGTCCCTGAAGAGATAATCCTCATACAATCTACAACATACAAAGTCTTAGCACTCACTGATGTTGCCTGCCTGTGAGATGATTTATTTATTTTTATTACAAAGGGCGATTAATGGGAAAATGTCATTCATGTTGTACTTGCAAAAGCTCTACAAGCAACTGGTTTAACTATACTGAAAGTAAACTTTTAGATTTGCAATTTCTTGTCATTAAGAAGGACTATTACCATAATTTCAGTAGCCCCAAAGCCTGAAGCTAAAAAAGAAATTGAAGGATTTTGAGAGCTACAAAAAGCCACTGCTCCATGGGGTTATGACTGAATATCATTCATGCAAACTATACTTGTAACTAGACCATGTTTCAGTAAGCTACAAGCCACGTTTTTTATACTAAGAAAAACCTTTCCAATGTAAAATACCACAAAGCCCATGTATTACTTCTGTTTCATACTGTATAGCTCAAGTGGGCTTTTGGAACTGAGCATTTTGGGGAGTTCCAGGTGCTACACAAAGGTACACTGATTGATCTAAAAATCATAAATTCTTCAGTGGCAATCCAAGTACAGAGCTCACATTCCTCATCACAAAGAATTAAAGAAAATGCTTTTCACTTTAAACACACGAAGCAAATTGACACAAATGAAGAACAACATGCAGTGCCACCGACCATCCCACACTTGGAAAATGCATCTCAGAGAGCTGCATTTGTTTGCAAGATCCCACTGTACTGAATAAGTCTAATTATACCTTCATTGAAAAATACTTCAGAACATTTTTGCCCTCTGTGCTTAGTTTTCTAAAATAAAGAGATTGGGAAATCATTATTTTTACTTTTAAGGTGATTACAACTGAGCTGAGCACTTGAAAATACCTGGAGCTCACGTCCATCTCCTCAACTTATTAAAAATGTTATTGGACAGACTGCTCTGTCATTGAGATGAGCTCATTAATATTTAAAATCAACTTTAAGCATTTGTTCCCCGCCTTGCAGAGTGAATGATTTCCAAATAGGAATATATTTCAAACCACGTGATAATGGAGCACTGGGAGAAACGCATTTATTTGCAAAGACAACATTTTGCACCCGTGAAAAGGAAAGGAAATCTTGCTGTTAAAATGCTTTTCTCACCTTTTTGCACAGATTTAACAACCACATCCCAACAGCACGGAGTTTGTTATAAACAACAGCATTCTCCCTGTGCAGCAGTGTGTGCTTTACTGCAACGTACAGTGAGCAAATATTAACGACACTCAATGCAAACACACCTTTGCAAAAAGAGGTTGTGATCTGCAATCAGCTCACGGCACAAAGCAGGAAGCTGAGGAAGATGCCTTCCTTAGCCCAACGTTATTTACAGATGCAATGCACCTTGCAAATGCAATAGTAGTATTTCCTCTCAGAACATTTTTTGGCACTTTCACGGTTTCGTTCCAGCCCTCCTTATTTCTACCACCATCAGGTTCATGCAAAAACATAAACGCATTGGATTTATATAACAACTGAATCCCTGCATGCCCCCAGGATGCTGAAGCCAGGCAGCTGCACAAGGAAAATGGCCTGCTTCCCAGGGCCTGAGACACTTCCTAAAAACAATTCCCTTAAAAATCGCCAGGATGCACAACATCCCTGCAGCCCGTTTAGAAGAAACCCTGCGCATCCTCGCTCCCCTACCGGTGCTACTTACGGCAGCTGTCTCAGCTGGAATAAATCATCCTCCATTGCCAGGCTGCGTCTGGAGGAGCTGCTCTCATCGCTCTCGCATGGCGGGGATGGATGCAGCTGTAGGAAAACGGGCACGGGTGGATGGAGGGCTCTGGTGGTCGCAGGCACCGGGCACGGTGCGGCACCGCACGGCACAGCACGGCACGGCTGGGCTCGGCACGGCTCAGCACGGCACGCCGGGGAGGGCTGAGTGGCTCCCTCCCCTTGCCGTGCTTGCTGCGGGATGTGCCTGCCAGCCTGCACCGGCTTTCCCGGCAGCCGTGACCAGGGATGCGTCCGTTGCGAGGTTGAGGCACAAGGGATGCTAAAGTGGCAGCAGAGCTGGGCAGCATTGGGACTTCTGTAAGGAAAGCCAAGCAAAGTTATTGTGGGCACGGCTGATCCTGAAATGATAGCAAAGGGTCTTTGAGGGGAGCACGGTGCAGTCAGATAAGCTGTTAACACTCCACTTTCATGAGGGTCTTTGCAGATTATGTTGTTGTTCCAGTGCCTGTTTCAGATACCCGAGGAAAGTTCCCATATTTAATCTCTTCTGGTGACCTGACAGGGTTTCTGAGCGTGCACTCCACAAACTCAGAATGAAATCACTTTGTAAAGATCTCAGTCATTTAGCAGCAAAATATGCTGTCACCCAGGTGCATTCACCCCTGTAGACTTTCTTCTGCAATTGGAAGAGAAAATTTACTTGTGCATTTACAAAAGAATCCTTTCCAGAGAAAGGCATGCAGGAGAAAATTAAAAGAAATGTGCTAGGAAGATGACTGGGAGACTTTTTTTACATTATTAAAATGTAAGATACATTTGACTAATTAAAAAATGGCCTGAAATCAACAAGGTGAATTCAGATGAAGACAGGTGAAAAGTATTAGTGAAGAATAAGACAGAAGGCGTGCAAATTCAGACCAGGGAAAACAGATGATGTCCAACAGAGGGTGGGCCTGGCTGTGACAAACCAAGCACGCTCAATATGTGACTGAGTGTTGTTCAGCAATCACACAGATTCAGTTTATGATGCTAAATACTGAAAATATGAATAATTTTTAGTATTTATAGGAAAGGTCTCACAGGCGGTGTAGCTAGAGTTTCAGCTGCCTTAAAAGTTGAAAGAATAATTCTTTAATTTGTGCCTGGGAGTAGAATCCTGATGCTCACACTAAGCAGCTTCATTTCACATAACTGTGTCCCCTGCAGTCATCATCCATGCATTTTGTGTAGGACCAGACTGTACAGCTGATCACACAAGACCTCGTGGATGTCTCAGGTACCTTCATGTCATTTCATGTGGATCAAGATGGGTAACTGTCACCTCACCTGACATTTTCTGCTTTTCCCTCCCAGACACACAGACTTGCACAAACAGTGTGGCTCTTTCATCGTGCATCCTTGTTGTCTTTGATTTGGGTGGTGTTGTGATTTGGGTAAAAAATGGCTGTTTCAGTTGGTTGTTCTCACAAAGGGGCTCAGCAGTTTATTTGGAATAAAAGGCAGCTTGGCCCATAACAAAAAAAAAAAAAAAAAAAAGGCTTTGGCAGCTAAATCTCATCTATCCACACATTCCTCTCCAGAAAACACGGGTTAAAGAAACCATATTTCAATTTTTTATATAATCAGAGAAGTCTGCTCTGTCTCGCTGGGTGAAACACCGCAAAGCCCACAACAGGAGGGTGGGAAGTTTGGTCCTCTCAGCACCCTGGTGCTTTTTGTTCACGTATTCAAAGTATTACGTCAGCGCTGTACATCTCACAGGAGTGCTGCAGCAGTCAGGGCAGCTTCATTTGCTCTTCTCTTCTACCACTTCCCCACCTCTCTGTCTCTTGTTCCTGTGCTCTCTGGGCTCCCATCGCCCTCTGGCACATATGGAATAAGGCCAGGCAAACCAGGACTGGGCTGAAAGGTGCACCAGGCACTCTGTAACACAGCTCGGTAGTTAATTTGGGAAGGTGTAAAGAGGAGGACGCTGCTCCTTGCCAGGCCCACAGCCCAGTCGGCAGCTGCCACCTCGAGGAGCTCCCAGAAGCTGCACGTATCGCTGCACTGATGGCAAACACTGCTTTCGCTACACGACCCCTAGAGCACCTCGGTTAAAAAAAAAATAATAATAAAAATGACAGCACTGTGTGCAGAGCGAGGCCTTCGAGTCAGGCACAGAAACCTGCACCACACTCGGGACTCAGCAATCCTCGCCCAACGCGCGACCTTAGCAACCGTTGCTAGGGGGGCGGCCCGGCGCGGAGCGTGCTTATGGCGTCACTTCCGGCGCCTCTCGCGCTACTTCCGGTACCCCGCGCTCCCTGTCCGTCGCGCCTCCCGCCCGCGGGGCCGGGTTCCGTGGTGCGATGCTGCCCGGCGGCGCCGTGCGGCGGGCGCTGAGAGCCGGGGCGGGCGGCAGGTCAGCGGCGGGGCCGGGAGGGGTGGGGATCGGCAGGCGAGGCTCGAGCGTTGCCCCGAGCCCCGTTGCGTGGCCGCCTCCGTCACCGTCCCCGTGTCTCCCCGTGCAGGTACAGGGCGATGCGGAGCTGGGGGGTGATCGGGGGGCTGGCGGCCGCCGTGGCGGCGGGGATCTACGTGCTGTGGGGGCCCATCGCCGAGAGGAAGAAGCGGAGGAGAGGTAGGGAGCGGCGGGGGGAGGGGGGCGAGGCCGTTGCTGAGGCCGGAGGCCCGGTTTGGGGTTCCCTGGGCACCCAATTATCTGCATTCGTCATTAGGAACTGTTGGAAATGATGGGCTGTCACTGAAGTTAAGGTTTGGGCTGCTGTCCTCGCCTTTAAAATGTCACAGGTTACAGTCTGCGTTGAACAGAGGACTTTTGTTCCTTATGTAAGGTATTAATTGTATCTGTTATTAAGAATTGTGGCTTACTGAATATATGCTCGTGTCTTTTTTGTGGTAATTTAATTACAGCTGCGGGTGAAGGATCTTATTTTATTTTGCATTTTGGGATGCAAAACAGCCATGTGAGAACCTTCTAGTTTTCAGCACCAAATGAACAGAAATCATGTAATTTCCATGCCAAATTCACTTGCCAGTGAAAGTAGCGAGGTTTTTGCAGCCTGCAGTGTCAGCTCTTCCATCTCTGTTGGCAGGCCTGGTGCCTGGCCTGCTGAACCTCGGAAACACCTGCTTCATGAACTCCCTGCTGCAAGGCCTGTCTTCGTGCCCCTCGTTCATCAGGTGGCTGGAGGAGTTCACAGCACAGTACAAGGCAGAACAGAACCAACCCAGTGAGCAGCAGTACTTGTCACTCACTCTGTTGCATCTCCTAAGAGGTACCCAAACTTATTCACCTGTGGTAAGCTAGGAAGAAAGCATTTAGCATCAACGTTAATCTTTCTCAAAGAAAGGAAGAGCAGGCGGTGCTCCTCTCTTTTTGGTTTAGTGTCTCAGGATGTTGTTCACACTAAAACTGTGCTACTGGAGCTTGTAAGTTTAAGTGATAAAAGGACAGTGAGACATTGGTGGTTTTTTGATATCTAGAGATCCACTTTTTACCTAATCTACTAGTAAAGTGATCTTTTCAGGCAGTGTTTATATTATTGTTTATTCTCTCTATTTCTGTCAGTTGGGAAACTCTTCACTTTACATGTATATTAGACAAAGAGAATGTATGCAGTCAATGACACTGTCAGATTAGAATGGCAATTAATATATGCTAGTTTGGTTGTCATTGTTTACCTGTCTTAATCAAGAATAACTTTATGGTAATCAATTATATTGTGCCTAAGTAGCACAAATCCTAAAATACACAGACCTGTGTTCTAACCATGCTTTGTGGCTCCTTCTAACATTTTAAAATGCAATGTCTTTAAGCTTTATCCTGTCAAGAGGTAACAGAAGATGATGTCCTGGATGCAAGCTGCTTATTAGAAGTGTTAAGAATTTACAGGTGGCAGATCTCGACATTTGAAGAGCAGGTGATTACAAAATTCAAGTTAGATTGCCTGATATACAGTTCAGTGCTTAGATCTGGAATAACAAAAAAACTGAAGCAATAGCACTAATAGAACTGGGTGCCAAATCTGAATCTTTGCTGTAGAAAAAAGTATGCTTTAAAAAATGAAGAACAACCACATGGTTAATGAATGGTGTTTTCAGTTTGTTTAGATATCTGTCATGGAAAGCCTGGCTGCTTCAAAACCTCCTACTTAGTATGTTCAGATTTGGTTTGAGATACTAAAACAGAAGGGATACAGCCCTCACTTCCCTGTATCAGAAGGGCTTCTGCTTGCAGGGATGGACTCAACTTCATTACTGTTTCCAAATTCAGTCCCATAGGAGATTTCTAAGACTTATTTTCAGTATTTTTAGCCCCTAAGTAAGTGCAGCTGGTCGATAAACTCAATCAATTTTCTCATTCATAAAAGAAGAATACAACCATATTTTATGTTTCAGAGCCAGACAAAATAGCACTGATTTGAGTGATGGTTTTATTGAAACCCAGGAAAGCAGGCATTTGTGCATTCATTTTTTTTCTTCAATGACTTTGGTGCCTTTTAAATTTATCCAGCCCAGAATATTTTTAATAGTGTCTGCTGTTATGAAATTCAGTTTTATAGAGAACACTTCTTCCTAAAGTTGAATTGGGTGCACAACTAATTACTATTAATATGTAAGATAAGCTCTAAGCAGTGATTTTCCCCTTTAATTTCATAGTGCAGTGTTGTAGCCATATGACTATCAGTACTCCTGGTGTATGTTTGGATGGGTTTCTTTTTTGTTTTGCTTCCTGTAACTCTTATGCCTCTGTTTAATAGGATGCTCATGAACTATTTCATGTCCTTACCTCTTCATTGGAAGATGAACGGGATCGTCAGCCACGTGTCACACATTTGTTTGATGTGCATTCATTGGAGGTGACGACTTTCCCAATGTTGTTTTGTTATCAGGAGAAGTTTCCATATGTACTTGGTAGTCTGCCTAGATTCCTAAGTGTGTCAAGTATGAAGTGCCTGTTAAGAAACTGAAGATATTAGCATAGTGTTTACAAAACTGTTCTTTATTGCTCTGACATAAATGAATCAATAGCCCAATGAAAGGAAAACAAAATGTTTGAAGGCAAATGTATCTTAGTCTGTTGTGACTCCACTTGCACGAGGGCTTTTGCATTCCTAAATCTATTTGAATATAAGGACTGAAGAAACTAGCAAAACACTAACACAGAGCAGCAGTTTGTGCAATCACTTACTCTTATCTGTTAGACCTGATGCAAGAAAGGGCTCAGAAAACTGCAAAATGGGTGTTCATAGAATAGTGCATTTGGAGGTGAAGTTTTAGCTCATCCTTCAGCATTAACGGTCAGCTTAATGCTGGTGGAGGATTTATATCTTTTTGTCTAAATTACATACAAACGGCCTAAAAAACTTGTTGAGCTTTTATTTCAGTGCTATCAGCTATCAGAATTCTAAAGGTTAATTGTTCATTTTATTAGAACTGCTCTATTTGTCACTTAGAACTTTGTTATGCACCAGGTTTTTTGGCTTTCTTCAAACACAAAGACACTTAAACTCATACCATTGTTCTAAAATCAGGAATGAAATATGTATTTAATATGTAAGCTTTTCTAAGGTGGGGCTGATGACATCTTTTATCTTCTCTGCAGCAGCCAGAAATAACCCAAAAGCAAATAAGCTGCCGAACAAGAGGTATGTTTTTTCTTCCATCCTAAAACATGAATATTAAGTCATAGTGTAATCATTTTGTTTATTAATTGGATAAGATCAACTGATCTTTGTCTTTATTGGACTGAAGTGCATTTCTTCATTTGTAAAATACCATTCATTATTTGTTAGTAGGGCAGGCCATGTTTTACAGATTTTGTTACAGTAGGCCAAAAATTTGGAATTATAGTGATGAACGTGGATGCTTTGAAAATAAAAGGACAATTTCACCTTTGTGTTTCAGGATCTCTTCCTCCTATGTCAAATCACTGGAAATCTCAGCATCCTTTTCATGGAAGGCTGACCAGCAACATGGTTTGCAAACACTGTGAACACCAGGTATAAGAAAGTGTGTTCTTTGTAGGTATACATGAAAAGTGATGCCTGACATTCAGAGTGCATCCTGAGGTGAAATCACCATTCCTTGTTTCCAACATAATTGGTTTAAGCTCAATAGTTTGCAGGAATAACAGCTTCAGCCATTATTTTTTCAGCTACTTATTGTGGCATTTTGTATTGAACAAGAAAATATTGCTAAGCATACCAAAGAAAATGAAGTGTTATTCACTTCCTGGGGATGACAGCTATCTTAACATGTAGAATAGTTGTTTTATTACATTTAGTATCTAATATCACAGGTATCATATACTGAAAATCCACTTACACAGGTAGCATTTTAGGACTAGCTATTCATTCAGCATGCAGTACTGTGATTGCACATGCAAAGGCAAATAAAGTTGCAGTCATCCAGAGTGAGGAGATGAAGATAAGCTGAATGAAGCAAAAATACAGCAAATAAATTGAATTCACACATCCAACTCTAGGAGTACTTTTCAAAAACTTGCAAACAAATTTAGAAGTGAGCAGGGACAGCTTCAGTAGAAACAGGCAGAGTAGTACCTTGTGCACTGCATCAGGTGTTTCCTAGCACTACAGCTGTGGGGAAAACAAGTGATTTAATAGACATACATGGATATGCTTGTTTTGCATGATACTGTTGGGAGGTAATGGTTGACCTATTTTGTTTCTTTAGATCATTGCAGATTTTTTTGCTCACTGCATTTGGAATATTTTCTTGCAGAGTCCTGTGAGGTATGATACATTTGACAGTCTCTCACTGAGTATTCCAGCAGCTATGTGGGTATGTTTCTGCTTTTAATGGGTGACCCAGCCAGCATGTCTACTGCCTTGCCATCAGAGCTTTATCTTCACTATTATCCTTTTACAGCCTCAGTAACACCTAAATGAGGTGTTACTAAATGAGTAACTAGAGTTGCCTTTATAAACAATCCTGTTGTGATAACACAGTACCTTACTACTCAGGCAATGAGGCAAATGAGCAATTAGCCTGATGGGTGTGACTGTAGGCACTGAGTTTTCTTTTTTCTCCTGGTGGATTATTTGGTCCTTTTGGTTAAATTGAACAGAGCAGATTGTATCCTGAGGGCTGTGTATTACTAGCAGACTCAGAAGATGACCTTCAAGTGCTCTGTCTCTGGTTATATTTCAACTGAAAATAGTTTCTGTGTCTCACTGGCTTTGTGAAAATCTTTAAATGATAAAACATTATA